TACACAGTGTCTGGAAGGAATTTATAGCTTTTAAATGCCTATTTTAAAAATATCTGAAATCACTAAACCAAGCTTCCTCCTTCAAAAATTAGAAAAAGAACAAACTGAACCCAAAGCAAGAAGGAAATAATAAAGACTAGCGCAAACTCCACGCAATGAAAAACAGAGAGTCAACAGAAGAAAAGAGATGAAGCCAAAATCAATTCTTGTAAAGCTTTCTGAGGTTAAGTGTACTGTAGTTATATGAGAGAATACCCTGGTTCTTAGGTAATATGCATCATGTCTTCAACCTTATGCTCGGATGATTCAGAAGAATACTGTTACGGGCAGAAATGTTTATGTCCCCTAAAATTCCTAACCCCCACTGTGGGTGCATTTGGACATGGGGTCTCTAAGGAAGCAACTGAGGTTGAATGAGGTCCTAAGGGTGGGCACTGATCTGATAGGATTAGGATCCCCATGAGACACCAGAGGGCGTGTCTGCTCTCTCCATGTGCATGTATCAAGGACAGGCCACTGAGGACACAGAGATGACTGCTGTTTACAAGTCAGGAAGAGAACCCTTAACAGAAACTGACCATGCTGGCACCTTCTAGCCTCTGAAACGATGAGAAAATAAATGACAACAGCACAAACGGCAGATTTTCCAAGGAAGCATCTTGGACCTGGTTGAAGCCACTTGGTCCATGGTATTTGGTTACGACAGCCCAAGCTGACTACCCACCTACCTACCTACCTAGAGTGCACTGCACAGGTGGAAAACTGGCAACCCTCAGGCAGTCTAGGTCAAGGGCAGAAGGAAGTTTTCTGTATTATTCTCGCAAATGCTGTGTTATTGCAACTAAGTGTGAAAATACGCTAACAAAATAAAAACTAACCCTTCTCCTTGCCTGGGTGGTGGACGCTTAAGTTGCTGGGCTGTGATGGGCTGAAGGCGATGCTCTCCTGGTTCCCTGGCTGAGGTGAGGGCCTTCGGTTTAGTCCCGTCCTCCCTGCACAGGGTTCTTTGCCTCTATCCCACAAAGTCGTCAAGACGGTGGACGCAGATCCACTTTCTGCTGCTTCCTGGTGCCTGCCCTGTGTTTCCTGTGGTCCTCCTTGGAAAGGCCACAAAAGTGCTTCAAGAGGACTCAAGTCCAAGATGCTTTCTTGGAAAATTTGCAGTTTGTGCTGTCATAAATGTGGCACATTAATGGTTGCTAAAACTGGGGAGCAACTCCTCAAGGCTTGGTGGAAGCACTTCAACTGAGTTTAAATATTCAAAAACGTAAGAACCAAATCCTGTTCCCCAGGGGCAGCAGCACTGGATCCTACTCCACCCTCCTCACTGGGCCTATCAAGAAACCAATGGGCAGGGCGCAGTGGCTCATGCTTGTAATTAATCCGAGCACTTTGGGAGGCCACGGTGGGCGGATCACTTGAGGCCAGGAGTTTGAGACCAGCCTGGCCAACATGGTGAAACCCTGTCTCTACTAAAAATACAAAAATCAGCCAGGCATGGCGGCGCAGTGAGCCGAGATTGCCCCACTGCCCTCCAGCCTGGGTGACAGAGCGAGACTCCGTCTCCAGGAAACAAAAAAGCAATTAAGTCCTGGGACTGTTTGGTACATGTGTCCTCTACTAAAGAGCAGGCTGCAAAGAAACTGAACTTTGCTTTAAAGCACTTGGTTTCAAATGCTTCTGAAAGCCCTGAGCTTCCCACTACAACTGCAACCGCCACTTGGTAGGTATTTCAAGACTTGGGGCTGCTCCCTGGGTCTCAACCTTCGTCCTTTCCACTAGGTTCCCACTCATCCTCAAGCTGTCCTTATCCCACACAGAAGATGCTCATTCTCAGAAGTGCTCTGGGAAGCCCCTTGTCCTCAAGGTCCTCTCTAGGAACCCCACTGCCGTCATTCCAGCCGGTTTCTGTCACACCCCCTTTGACAAGAACTGAAGAGCTGCTAGGGTGAATACTTGGCGGGCCCCTCAACACTCAACAGCAGCAGCATACCGGCCACATGTCAGTTTCCACATTTTCCTTCCTTCTCTGTTTTTAAGGGGGTATAAAATGACTTATACCTGCATGTTTTCAAATCCACTTAAGACCAGGAGGTTATATGTGGACAAAGAGATCAAATTACCTCAAACCTTTACGGTGACAATCAAGCCAAGGTACAAACACGCTAAAATCACCACCCGTGCACCCACCTCTTCCTCTTTTTCCGTGGGCGAGTGCCAGAGGAGGGCCGTCCACATGCGGGCTCTGCTGTGTCTCACAAGGTGCACTTCTCTCGTGCACCGAGTGAAAACCCTCCACATCTCCCCTGCCTGGCATTGTGCCAGTGGGCAGAAAACCGGGGGCCACAAAACTCAATGTTTAGTCTTTATTGGCATGTGGTTTCCTAGACAACTGTGGACACAATTCCCTCAGAATGGCCTATGCTGCAGAGGGAGGGAGGGGAGTGTCACAGTGTGGAAGGCTTGTCGCACTTGGTTACAGAGCTCTCCTCTGAGCACCTCGTTTGTGTCAACTTCTGGCTAACCTGAGTGAACACCCATCAGCTGGGAGAAACAAGCGCTAGGGGGCACCTTCATGGCCACTGGTAAAGAAAGCCCTAACTGTCTACAATAGAAATGGAAAACACTTAACGTTTTATCCATTTTATAGTTTTGAACTAGAAATCTTCCAAGTTTAATATATACCTTCTTAGTGAATTCCCCCGCCAAAAACAAACAAAAAAACCCCAACCCAAACCAAATGGTATTCCTGCATCTTGGGCAATAGCTCCTTCACTGTTGAGTTGTTCCAAAGAAAAACACCCGAGTAGGTAATAAGAGTCAAAAATGCCACTGAGTTTTTGCTGGGATCAAATTGATCAGGAGACAATAATGTGGTTCTGTAAAAACCAGCACATCACAATGGGTCTTCCCACACTCCATCATCTGGGGAAACCCAGGTAAGCAGCCTGGGAACAGGTAAGTGCCGGGTCACTCTCTGTAGGGCTGCCGGGCAGCCACGGGAACGTGTCCCGGGATGCATCTGTGCACACAGCTCTTGGGTTTGCTTTCTGCAAATTGCACCAGAAAACAGCGTGGCTTCCACAGTAAATGGTTTCAAACTGCGAGTCAAGGCAAACCGAAAACTTATTCCCCATCTGCCTGCTAGGTGGCCTTCCTGCATCTGCTGCCACATCCCTTCCTAGCCAACTGCTCCCGGTCTAGACGGAAGCCACAGTGTCAACGTCCGGATCTCCTCACCTGAGTCATCTCCATCTGCACAGTGCCTTGTGTACTGCATCAAGTATTCGCGCAGAGGTCAAGAGGAGAAACTGACTCACGCGGTGTTAGTGGACGTTCACTACGCCTTTGTCGAGTACAATGTTAGTACAGGGGAAGGGCAAAAGCAGAATTCTGCCTCTCAAACTTGGCCATCTGAACGAACTCACTGCCCATGCTCAGTGCTGTGCGAAGACGGTTAGGCACAGACATGTCCTTAGGAAGCAGCGCTAGGTATCTACACCTGACCAGATGTTCATCACATACTAAAAGGTAGGGGGACAAACAACAGACTTACTGAGTTCCGTCCCTTTCACAACACATTGTTTCCCTAATTTATTTAAATGAAAACTGTCTTATTTAGGCCTTATATATGTGTCTGTGTTTACGATAAGGACACATTTAAAACAATAAAAAACTCAACCCCTACATCATACTACACATGAATTAACTCAAAGTGGATCATAGACATAAATATAAAACAAAAAATTCTGAAACTTGACAAATCTTTACACTTTGGGCTAAGTGAAGATTTCTCTTAGTGAAGATGTAAAACTTAGTGAAAATATAACAAAAGCACAATCTATGAAAGAACAAACTGATAAATTAGACATCCATCAAACTGAAGTCAAGCGAAATGAAGAAATGTTTACACAAAACCCTGTATGCAAATGTTTATAGCAGTTTATTAATAGCCTCCCAAACCTGGAAACAACCCAAAAGTTCCTTAACTGGGGAAAGGATAAACAAGCTCTGGTACAGCCACACAACGGAATACCACGTGGCAAGAAAAAAGAACCTGCAGCATCATCCACGAATCTCAAATGCATCACGCTAAGGGAAATAAGCCAGACTCAAAGGCAACATATCGGAGATTCCATTTATATGATGCTGTCAAAAGCAACAACAGAAACAGAAGAGATCACCCTGCCAGGGGCTGGAAGAGGGTTGAATATAAAGTGGTACAAATGATTTGAGAAGGCTGTTTGATGTATTAACTGTGGTAAATAAACAGTATGTGTTTGTCAAAATCTGAACTATACATTTTAAAAACAGTAACTTACTATATGTAAATTATACCTTAATAAAGATGAAACAAAATAAAATCCACATAGATGGATTCAATCCACAAAGATATTTACTAAAACACTATAGCAATAAGCTAAATATCAACAGGGGTGGTAGTTAAATAAGTAGGGTATCCACAATAGAATATTTATGCTCATTAAACCCATTTTCTTCCCCCAATGTGAGTGACATGCTATTTACCTGGGGAATAAAACCATACACAAATGGTCCCTCACGCACGTGCGTGCACACACACAGGCACGCACGTGACACAAATGGTCCCTCACGCGCGTGCGTGCACACACACAGGAACGCACGTGACACAAATGGTCCCTCACGCGCGTGCGTGCACACACACAGGAACGCACGTGTGTTTCCCCACACGGGGTGTTTCCCCACGCAGGGGTGTGTGTTTACCCGCAGGGGGAAGTCTACCTGCTGCTTTCTCCCACTCTGTCTCCAGGTCCTTCTGCCCCACTTCGATCTGAGCCCTGCAGGTGAGCACTGCCCACCCATCTGTACGTGCCGGCCAAGGGGACAGATTCTGCATGCGACACCAGACGACGAGGTGGTGGGTGAGGCTGGGTGATAAGGATTTGTGTGCAGGATTTTAAAACAGGATTATAAAGCTGCAGGAAACTAGAAAACAGGGGGCAAACAGACCAAACCAGCACTTTATTTTAAAAAGTTTTATTTTGGAGATTTAGAAATTTGAGATTTTTAATAACGGCAAAAGAAATTCAGTCACACCTAATGATTAACAGAACGTAGTGGTGTATTATCCAAACAGAAATCGTGCTGATGTGCCATAATAAATTGTCTATTAGTAAAAAAATACACTTTAGGGCACAGCATTGTATCACAAATTACAGTAGGGATACTTTGCAAGAATTTAATCAAACTAGAGAATTCTGAGTAACTGTATCTTTTAAATGCAGCACTTAAAAATGTAACAACTCTGTGCATCCTTTTTCTTAAAAAAATGACCTTGCATGTGTCATAGAAACGCTGCTTTATTGCTGCAGAGGTCAAAGTTCAAGGCTCAAGAGGTACAGGAGAGAATACAAAGGTAGCCTTTAGAAACTTGGTTTTGTTTATGTATAAAAAAGGTAAAGTTTATAAAAGTTAATTTACAAACCAAGAACAAAAGTGGTATGCACGCATTATATACAAGCATCCTTAAAACATCAAAATTTTCAAATGCATAGCCAGAAAGAACAGAAAACAACCACTGCCCCTTGTCCAAAAAAAAGAAAAAGAAAAAAGAAAAGAAAAAATCCCGAAATCACACCACTATTTTCTTCTGGGTGATAACACATTTCTGAAACCACCAAATGCACAATTTACTCAGTCTTTGTCATGATACAGTATCTCGATAATGCACAAAAGCCATAAAAACTTAGTAACATACAGCGAGAATGAGCTAAGAATTAAGAACATGAGGGTAAGGCATTCCTGCTGGTTAGTATGTTTGTGGTAATATGGTGAAGTTAGAGATCTGAAGAGGCCATGGAACCAGTCTCACATGCTTCTGTATCCTTCCCTATGAAAAATGTGTTTTCATATACAGTAAGTCATTGTCTTCACTTCACCCTCCCCCAGTTATAAATCCCCTTGCTGTACATTTCTGTTAAATCCACAACACTGGTTATATATTCCAGGTGCATTTTTAAAATGTGTGCATATTACTTCATGCATGATAAAATAAAATGTGTATGTATGCTAGGCCAGGGCCATAGTAAAGTTTGAAACAGTGTACTTTGGAAAGAACAGACCTCAAATGCACCCCCATTTACTGGCTGGTATTTTAACGGAAATCAATATGTGAAGTTAAGCAGTGACGATAAAAAAAAAACTACAAAAATCACAAAGCAAAATATCTTTGAACCTCTAGCCAATACCAACAGTCCCATCAATCACAAACACACAGCGTGTAGCATGTTTTCTGACCATGGTTCAGGGGCATGCTCACTAATCTTTATCAGTTCAAACAAATGCTTCATACTAACAAACTGTAGTATCAATTCTAAAAAAGGTATAATACTTGATAAGAGTGGTTCCATTTAGATTAAGTTTAATCCAGTTTCACATTATTTAATCAAGTTCCTATATTTCAGAGTTAAAAGTGGTCAATAAGGACAGAAACACAATTTGCTCCAACGAGATAATTTGGATCTCCAGGAAGACACTTGTTTTGCCAGGTTTTAGGATCACCTATGAGAGAAAAGAAGGTGATGTCATTTACAGTTGAGTAAATTGCTATCTGCAATGCTTTGCAATTATAGGGCAAATATGTATATTTAAACATAATTTTCTTCTGTTTCTTCAGCATATTGTATTTGTTATCAAAATTCACTGCTTTATTTCAATGCACACCTGCTGCCACCTAACAATTTCAAAGGTGTTTCACACTTCTATTTAAAAAAATACTTAAAACTTTCTTTCCAACTCACACCATTAAGAACAGTTTTCTTTTTTTAAACTTTCAGACTTCTCCTTTATTACATTATCAAGTGCACTGACTTTTCAAAAAACGAATACAAGTGAGTGACGGCAATCTCATGTCTGGGACAGTTCCAGTTTGCCCGAGCCCACATAATTATCAGTAGCACTTTTTTTTCCCCCTTTCAAAAGTCTGGAGGATAATTATATGATCACCCATTTGAGCTGAGAATGAGGACACATTTCTCATACTCAACTATAGACCAACAAATGAAACCCAGTTCTGCAGAATCTAGTTCTTGAAGACCATCTTTCCCCTTACAAAAAACAAACAAAGAAACGAGACTGCACCAGAGCTGCTCAGCTCTGATTCCAGCTGAACAACAAAATTAATCACGCAGCTTCAGAAACTCACTGACTGGGTGTTAGTTAGATCTCAGGATTTAAGTTTTTAATAAGCTCTTGGTGATTTCTATTAAATGTGAAGAAGGCAGGGACAAGTATGTGTCTCTGTGGTATCCAAGCAAGCTGAGAGTCACAGCTGTGGATTTCTGCTTCCCTTACAGCAATAGCTCTCAAACAGGAACGGCCCTGCCCCAGATGGGACATCTGGAGACAGTTTGCTTGTTACCACTGGCATCTAGGGGTAGAGGCCCAGGGAAGCTGCTAAATATCCCACAATGAACAGGAGAGCCCCTACAATAATCATTTGGCCAAAATGTCAACAGTGCCAGCTGAGAACCCTGCCTACAGTATGTTAGACATTACCTAAGCCATATCTGGAGCCAAAAGCATTTCATTTTTCCAGAAAATGCGGTACTTGTAAATATGAGGAAATATGTATTTACAAGTAATTTTTTTCTTTGGTAACATTAAAATATGCTCTTGCTATGATCTTTATACCACAAACTTTTATTTCATACTGTACCAAACTAAAACTAAATAATGCTCGTCTGATTTATCAAAGATTTGGAAGCAGGACTTTAAATCAGGTTCGCTTAAAGTGATCTAACCCAAAATAAAATTCTAATTGTTAACTGACTTAAGTCACTCAAGGAAGTGAGAAATGTGAAAATGCAATGGAAGGTTTGAAATTATGATCTTAGGAGCAAAAAGTTGTTTACAAATAGTGTATAAAAGAAGCAATTTAGAGTATTACACTGAAAAACCATGGCCAAGTATGATCACAATGGAAGATTCTTTTAAGTTTCTCTGGTATACATACTTTGTAGATTAAGAAATTAAACAGGCCAGATGCAGGGGCTCATGCCTGTAATCCCAGCACGCTGGGAGGCTGAGGCAGGTGGATCACTTGAAGTCAGGATTTCGAACCAGCCTGGCCAACATGGTGAAACCCCATCTCTACTAAAAATACAAAAATTAGCCGGGCGTGGTGGCGCACTCCTGTAATCGCAGCTACTCGGGAGGCTGAGGCAGGAGAATCGCTTGAACCTGGGAGGCAGAGCTTGCAGTGAGCCGAGATCGTGCCACTGCACTCCAGCCTGGGTGACAGAGGAAGACTCCGTCTCAAACAAAACAAAACAAAACAAAACAAACAAAAAAGAAACGAAACAACAGTAACCAAAAATATAAATAGTTATAGAAAGGAATGAACTAATTTTAATAAGATAAAAATGCCTGTTTGTGCAGGACAATAACAATTCTCCCACTGCATCCTGAAAAATTGGACAGAATCAATCATTTTGAATACCAAGAAATACTCAATTATTTGGCCAAATTATTAATTTTTTTTTTTTTTGGAGACAGAGTCTCGCTCTGTTGGCCGGGCTGGAGTGCAGTGGCATGATCTCGGCTCACTGCAACCTCCGCCTCCCTGGCTCAGGCAATTCTCTTGCCTCAGCCTCCTGAGTAGCTGGGACTACAGGCGTGTGCCAACACATCTAATTTTTGTATTTTTAGTATAGATGGGGTTTCACCATGTTGGCCAGGCTGGTCTCGAACTCCTGACCTTAGGTGATCCACCCGCCTTGGCCTCCCAAAGTGCTGGGACTACAGGCGTGAGCCACCACGCCTGGCCCAAATGATCAATTTTTAAAAGGAAGCAACTCTTCTATCTTTCCATATTTATTTACAATATATGCACCATAAATAAATGTGGAAATACCGGTGATGCCTACAAGGCCACAGGAACAGAGGGAGAGATTTGCTAACACACAGCATGGGTAGCATCACCAGCCCAGGTATTAATCAACGACAGTCCCCAAAGCCCCAAAGGACAGAGTGAAGACAGCATACCCGACGAGGAGTCGGATGATTTTAGAGCAAAAGACCAACCGTCAGGAGTCATGGACGCACAGTGTGGTAAGCGCAGCTCCACAGGCTTCAGGAACTTGAGGCCATGGGGACCACACATCACCAAGGGACTCAGCAGTGTTTCACCTGGAGTTGGAAAAGGGGATGGGCAGAGAGGTTGGATGTGGTTCTTTCTTCTAGACCCCAGTTTTCCTCACCCTGCTTCTAATTATATGCTTGAAAGCCTAATGCAGTTAGTTCTCTACAATCGCACTGACCACAAAAAAAATGTAACAGCAGCCACATATGGAATTTTAAATTTCCCAGTAGCCACGTTAGAAAGTAAAAAGAAACAGGTGATAACAAATAGTACAGTATTTTAACTCAATCTAACCAAAACACTGTTATTTCAACATGTAACCAATATATGGTATCTTTGGAACTTGGTGTTTATTTCACATTTCCAGCATCTTTCAATCCAAAATTGTCACACTTCAAGTGCGAGGTAGCCACGTGCAGGTAGTGGCTACTGCATTCAATCATATGGGTCTATAGTATAAACATATTCAAATGTACTTGTTACAAATGTGACATATTTTCCATTTTTAAAATTTGCTCCATAGATGCTAAAGGGATTCACGCAGGGCCAACACAGTCAGTCCTACTGGTTTTTAAACAGGGATAGTCCCCAAAATCAGAGTACAGAATCAGTTATCAGTATTCTGGCAAAACGTAAGAAGTGTTAACTGCATTTAGGAAAGTAAAGCAGGTGCTAAAAGATGTAAATCACGACACAGTTCGTTACAACATCTGATAGATCCAGGGAGATTATGAAAATAACAGTTTCCTTAGAAGCTCAGAACATACTGTCATTCCTCTGGAGTTCCTTCGTGCACTCTGCCGAGCATGTACTAGTGCTAGTTCTGGGGTGATGATAAGACAGTACCTGTCAAGACGTTTAGGGTTCTCCAATTCCAGGTGCAGACACGCAAAGCTTTCTGAGTGGGTGTTACCTAACCATCTCCAGAGACGCAAAGGCCTGACTGACTCAAAGACAATTTGGTCAGGTCAGCCCAGGTGCCTCAGCAGGCACAGTGAGAGACATCCCGTGCTGTCCTATGCCATCATTTTTTACTTCATACCAAAAGTAAAAGAGGGCAGTGTGGCCACCACAGCCTTGCCTCAGGCCACCTCCTGCCTGCTTGCAACCACATCCCCAGGGCACCTCTCGCTACAGCACTCATCTGAAAGGACCTCCCTGATGAAAGGAACATGCTATTATTTAGTGGCCAGGGTGGAGGGTGAGATGGGTGCTGCATTACCCCCTTAGCCAGCACTATAAGCTTTGAAGTGCACACAGGGCAACTCTTAAGTTATCAAAACTAAGGAGAAAAATAAACACATTTACCTTTCTCTTTATCTAAAGGTGGAGATGCTGTTGTCTCGGCAGACCTTGAAATAGATTTCCTGCTAAATCTTCGGGACATGGGGCTCCTTGAGGGATAACTTAACTGGACGCCAGTTTCTATGGAACTTCGCACCGCACCATTGCTGTTAAATATGCTCGCGCTGGTGGCCACCCCACAGTTATGCCATTTTCATTTCCTTCATCCTCTTCAGACTCGAAGGAACTGAAAGTTCAGAAATGGCTTAAGTGAGGTGATTCCAAATAGTACACAGGTGCTGGTTGCTTTTGACTTATACTGTTTTACTGTGCTTTCATTTTACTTTTGTTTTCTCGCATAATTAATCAAGAAAGCTACTTTAACAAGATAGGTTCTGGAACGCATTTTACTGACAGGGTTTCTAGGAGGTATTTTATTTATTATTATTTGAGAGAGAGTTCACTCTTGCTGCCAGGCTGAGGGTGTGGTGCACGGTCTTTGGCTCCTTGCAACTCGGCCTTCCGGGTTCAAATGATTTTTTCTGCCTCAGCCTTCCCGAGTAGCTGGGCTACAGGCATGTGCCACCACGCCTGGTAATTTTTGTATTTTTAGTAAGAGATGGGGTTCACCCATATTGGGGGGCTGTCTCAAACTCCTAATGTCATCATGATCCACCTGCCTCAGCCTACCAAAGTGCTGGGATTAGAGGCATGAGCCACCGTGCCCGGCTGTTCTTCCATTCTTAGTGACACAAAACAACGGTGCATCTCACAGCTGACAGCATCTCAGACTTGATAACATCTCCCTAGGATTTTAAGTGCACATGAATATGGTCCTGCCTCAGCATCCCTGAGGACCAAGTGCCCACCCTGCTGCAGAAGGCAAGGCTTCCAAGGTTCCATGAGCTGAAGACCCTTGTATGGGCACATCCCAAACATCCACAAAAAGAGAGACAGTAGATTAACGTAGTAATCACACAACACCAAAGGCAAAGGAGATGTGGTATCAATGACGGCTTCAAAAATAGAGGCTATCAAGACTTCCTGAAGGACAGTTTTGAGCCAGAGCTTAAAGGTGAGCAGAAAGACCAACAAAACAATCACATGAAGGTAGCTGCAGTTTCACTCCAGCATGACCGGAGTGCCAGGGACGACATCCTACGGCACGTATCAAGGGAGCAGAGTGCAGCCTGAGCTGCATAGCAGGGGTCAACTGTGTCTGTCCCTGACCACCGGTGGATGTGCAGAGCTAGGAAGGCAGTGACCGCCATAACCATCCTTGCTCTCGGAAAACAGCCTCAGGTGGCCATCCTGACCTTTGGTTCTCCCTGCCTATAAGTGCTTCTGCTTTACGGTGGCATGAAAATGGAACTGGCTGTAGGAGGGTGAGATGAGCTAATGTGTGGCCAGAATCTATCCGGTCAATCGCCACGGAATGAAAGGCAGGAAAGAGGAGCTGCAGGGAGGCTCCAGGAGGGCTTGCTCTGTCTCATTTGCTCAGCCATCTTACTGACTGCTGCCTTTAAACAGTCAGGGCTATTCTATTTTTCTTCTTAGCATCATTGTGGAACAAATAATGAAAGAGGAACATAGATATTTAACGTTTTTAGATGTCCTCCACATGCCCCTTAACAGCAGGTCAGGAGAATACAAGAGGCCATGGCTGGTTAAGAGTATGGGTTCTCGGCTGGGTGCAGTGGCTCACACCTGTAATCCCAGCACTTTGGGAGGCTCACTTGAGCCTGGGAGTTCAAGACCAGCCTGGGCAGCATGACAAAACCCTGTCTCTACTAAAAATACAAAAACTAGCAGGGCATAGTGGTGCATACCTGTAGTGCCAGCTACTTGGAAGGCTGAGGCACGAGAATTGCTAGAACCTGGGAGGCGGAGGTTGCAGGTTGCAGAGAGTTGAGATCACACCACTCCTGCCTGAGTGACAGAGCAAGACTCTGTCTTGATTAAAAAAAAAAAAAGAGGCCAGGTGTGGTGGCTCACATCTGTAATCCTAACACTTTTGGAGGACGAGGTGGGTGGATCAGTTGAGGTCAGGAGTTCAAAACCAGCCTGACCAACATGGTGAAACCCTCTCTCTACTAAAAATACAAAAAATTTAGCTGGGCGTGGTGGTGCACGCCTGTAGTCCCAGCTACTCAGGAGGTTGAGGCAGGAGAATCGCCTGAACCCAGGAGGTGGAGGTTGCAGTGAACCAAGATCGCACCACTGCACTCCAGCCTGGGCGACAGAGGGAGACTCTCTCTTTTAAGAAAAAAAAAAGAAAAAAAAAAAAGCATGGGCTCAGAGGTTGGATGACCAGCAGCTAAATCGAGGCTCACCTCACTCTAGCTGTGTGACCCTGGGCAATCTGCTTACTGTCACTCAACCTCAGTTTTAGTAAAACAGGGATGATGACAATACCTACCAACCATACATGACTGTTAGCTTTATTATTTTACCAACACCTTATAACTCCTGGAGGCCCTTCTATGTAACAGCATTCACTGCAACAACACTCTTCAGTTTAAAGGTTGAGTTAAAAAGATCACTTCAAAGTCCCAAGTCAAATAAACTACAACAAACTCACATGAGAAAAATCACAGGGGCAATGCTCTGAGCAAAGGCAAAAGTCTTACCTCACAGGAATAGCTTTAGGCACTGTGCTGATATTATTTATTTGATATTTAGGCTTCTCTGCATGGATAGAGAAAGTTTCAACTCCACTGTCAAACTCAGAAGGCTGTGCCAAACTGTGCGATTTCACAAGAGTTTTTGGAGAAGTGGGAGTTTTTGACAAGTCAGGTTTATGTGCAGTTTCACTTGGCAGAAGATTGTGATTGAATTTAGGACTTTCAAACTTGCGTTCAAACGGTCGGGCAGAACTTGTATATGGTTTTGGTGTGAATCGATTGTATGCTGGAGTGACCGTTTTCTGAGTCTGTTCAGTTCCATTAACTGGGGCTTTATCTGGAAAACTTTTCTGGGGATAGAAAGCTGGCTGAGCAGTATCTTCTCGGTTTGGTGGTCTGAAAGTTGCTGGCTTATTCTGAGACGGAGGTGGGTCTGGTTTGGACACTAAGGAATTCTGAAAATCCAATGACACTGAATTACCTGAAAAACAAACATAAGCATTTAAAAACCTTTCTGAAAAAAGGTGTAACAGCCCTCTCCCAGCTCAACTTGTCCTGGTGCTGGAGTCAAGGCCCAAGTGTGGGTCGCACAGCCAGAGCCTGACTCCTGAGCCCCGGAGGCTAGGTGTGGTGCTGAGGGATGAGGCCCGCACGGACAGGCGGTACCATGAGTAGACCCTGCCGCCCTGGAGTCAGGGTCCAGCTGCTAAGATTCCTGGCCTCCAAAGACTGGCACTAGTCTTTGTGAAAACCAGAATGTCCAATAACTATATAATAAGGACACTCACTATTAATTTGAAAAATGTAAAACAAAACCAACCAAAAGCATTAAATACTATTTCACACACACTAGAATGGAAAAACTGGAAAGTTTGATAATGCCAAATGTTGGTTAAGAAGTGGAACCACAGGATTTTTTATGCACCGGCAGAGGCAGTGTAATATAGTACCAACTGAACTCTGTGAAATAATTAAAGACACTACAGGACAAGAGAATTATTAATCCAAATTCCTCCTGAACATGGCAATATAATTACCACAGTATGAGAAGAAAAATCATATGGTCATCTTAATACATGCAGGAAAAACATCTGACCAACTGCTCGCAGCGAACTCTGAATATGGAACATCTTAAACACGACAAGGGACGTCGACGAAAATCCCACCGCTAACATTCTAAGGGTAAAACATGAAGTCCTTCCTCCTTAAGATCAGGAACTAGCAAAAGAGGTCCAATTTCACCACTTATGTTTCAGAGTTCATTGGAGGTCCTGGCCAGTGCAATCAGCAAGAAAAGAAAGAAGGCCAGGTGCGGTGGCTCACGCCTGTAATCCCAGCACCCGAGAGGCCGAGGTGGGCAGATCACCTGAGGTCAGGAGTTTGCCAACAGCCTGGCCAACATGATGAAACCCTGTCTCTACAAAAAATACAAAAATTAGCTGGGCGTAGTGGTGTACGCCGTAGTCCCAGCTACTCAGGAGGCTGAGGCAGGAGAATCACCTGAACCCAAGACACAGAGGTTGCAGTGAGCTGAGACTGTGCCACTGCACTCTAGCCTGGGCGAGAGCAAGGCTGTGTCTCAAAAAAGAGAGAGAGGAAAAAAAAAAAAAAGAAAAAAAGAAAAAGCATAAAGACTGGAAAGGAAGAATTAAAACTGTCTTCATCTGTAAACATGGTCGTGTGTGAAACAAAATCTTAGTAAGTCTCAATCCAGAACTATAACACGTCTGCTTGAAGACTCACAAGTCCTGGGAGGTGCCTCCTAAGGGAATAAGAGAGAAGTCTGTGCTACGAGAATGCCTGTTCCCGGCAGAAGAGATAAACACTTTGTGTTACATGCTGAGGGTAAAACGTTACACAGCTCTTAAGATGAATAAGCTGGAGCTGTATGTCATCTACCTGGTATGTAAATGCAAAAGTCAAGGTGCTATGGGATACATTTTCTGTGAAACACCATGGCTTTTCTATTTGGGAGTGTGAAGATGAAACATAACAATACGTTTTATAAACCATCTTTAGATATACTGGCAAACACTACTTCCACAAGATTGAGACTAGCACAAAACAGATTAAAATCTGTTTAGCTAAAAGGCTTGTCCAAAATAATGGTCTTGTAAAAACAGGAGACATACTTTTAACAAAATTCTTAGTTTTTATTGTTCCCAGCCCAAAAGTTTCAATCATGTATTTTTTAATGTAAAAACCATTTTGCCTAGAAACCACGAGAATTTTACTTAAGCATTACTGTGTTATAATGTCTACTTCCGAACTTCCTACCTTCACCATGTGCTCCCTTAGAATGTATGTGGAGAGATGCGCTGGTGACAGGTTGAGATGGCTGGGCGTACTGCGAGGGCAATGGAGGAGGAGGGGGAGTGACCTGGAGGGGTTCATAGCGTTTCTCACCAAATGATCTATCTACACCATCAGCTTCAGGAGGCTTTCCCCTGTTAACAAATGAAGAAAATGCCAACACCTGAAAATGTACTCAACATTTACAAAACAAGTTCTCATTTCTGCACGTATCTCTTAAGTTAACTAGAAATTTCACAATTTATTCTCGTGAGTATGGGTAGCTACTCTACCGAAATATAAAAACAGATTCAACCATTTATTGGCACAAGAAATGTCCACACACACAAATACTTTAAGAATATTAGTAAAACATCCAGAAGATGGCAACCAAAGGCAGGTGAAATTTTGGGTATATTTTAATATTTAATTGTTATTTACAAAAGATAGTAACATTGACAGATTTAAGAAAGTCTTGCAAATATTCTGAAAACATATCATGGCACAAATTTTCCTGAGACCCCCTTTTTTTTTTTTTTTTTTTTTTTAGCCAGGGTCTCATTCTGTCGCCCAGAGTGGAGTGCAGTGGCGTGATCTCAGTTCACCACAACCTCTGCCTCCTCCCAGGCTCAAGCGACTCTTCTGCCTCAGCCTCCCGAGTAGCTGGCATTACAGGCGCCAGCCACCATGCCTGGCTAATTTTTGTATTTTTAGTAGAGATGGGGTTTCGCCATGTTGGCCAGGCTGGTCTCAAACTCCTGACCTCAAGGGATCTGCCCGCCTCGGCTTCTTAAAGTGCTGGAATTACAGGCATGAGCCATCGCGCCCAGCCCTAGACCCTCTTCTGATTTTGTATCTGGCATCTGGCATACTCACAGCACTACAAAAACAGATGTCGCAGACTAGGGGTTGGCAAACTTCTTCACTGAAACACCAGAAAGTAAATGTTTCTGGTCTTTTGGTCCATACAGTCTTTGCCACAACTATTCAAACTATGCGGTTATAGCCTCAAAGCAGCCACACACAACGGGCATATCTGTGTTTCAGTAAAACTAAAAAAACTGGAGCTTTTACTTTAAAATTTCCCCTTGAGTTACCAGGTCCATTTTTTGATACTGCCTTATCTTACAAGGTTCATTTAAGTCAAATTGTGCCATGTATGCTTATTTTTTCAGATTGCCAATTGTTAATATGTAACACAAAATTCACACAAATCTTTTTAGAAGACCCATAATTGCAACATTGCCATCTAAACCTTACTGCTGAATGCCAAAGCCGCACTAGCTTTATGTGCACCCACAATAACATACGCATTTGGAATATCCCAGTCATTTTCATACATTTTCATTGAAGAAGTCTCATGATTGGCTTCTTTATCTTGCTTTCATGAATTTAGACTAAGCCGTTGATGATGACATTAAAATCTGAAAGTGCACATAATGCCAGTGACACAGTGAGGGACACCTTACGGAACAGCCTCACATTAATTGCCAGTCTTACCACTTGACGTTCCTTTTCAAGTAGTCATAGCTAGTGTAAGAGCCAAGAAATCTAGGTGATGGCAAAGCAAGCGCAACGGAAAAATGAAAGAAAATGGTCAATCTAACTAAGTAAATTTGCAGCAAATGGAACTCAAATGTCATTTAAAAATAACCAACATCCACCATTTCACCATAATTTGGTCTATAAAGGAACATATCACTAACTCTCATTTGGCCAAGGAAATTAAAGATAGATAAAACACAGTCACTTAGTTATGCCATCTGCTGGCCCACCCTTCATGTACTTTAACTGGTACTGCAGTGAAGAGCAATGTGTTTGAGCTTTGCTCCTTCTGCACCTCTGTTGCAGCTGCTAATAGTGAGCAAAGAAATTTATCAAATCAAAGAGTGGCGATCAAGGATAATCAGCAGGTTCTGAATAAGTGGGAGTGAAATGTCCTATTAAAGAAAAAAATAAAGGCTGGGCAAAAGAAACACTGCAAGTGAAGACACCGGAAAAAGTAACACAACAGAAGAGCTACACTGAGCCCCTGGGAGGGGAATGGTAAATGGACAGATACAAACATGCCTGGCTTGAAACCTGGCCAGACTTCTCATGTTCCTTTCTAGCAAGACCTTCTGCATCGGCAATCGTAAGCTGGGCCCTGCGGTGGTGGAGTCTTGCTGGTGAAGCTGCATGCTTGATGCTCAGTCTCTCTCTCATCTAATGATGTCTCACAAACACAAAAACAACTGAACATCAGTCTCCTACATTTAGTTCTTTAAAAGCTAAAAACCACCATCATTTATTGAGACCTGGAAGTCTCGCTGAGTGAGCTGAGTCCTGAAAGGTAGATTTGATAACAAAAAATCCCTGGTTGTCCTGAAGAAGTTGACTCAATCTCTGGGCGGAGACATGTGAACAGCCCTGGAGGGACACTGCTCTTCTTGCACTGTCTTAGAATCCTGGAAACTTCCAATTTACTTTGGAGGTGAAATGTCTAAGCTACTGTCTCCTAACCTTTCCAGTTGTAATCCAGCTCTATGGAATTTTAAGACTGGGTTATCTGCTTGCTTGCTGCGGCATGTGTCCTGTGCTAACAAAGATTATTTTCCGTCTCTGATTCTCACCATTTCTGAGGTGTGTTTTTAAGTGAAGCATTAAGCACACATCATCTGGAGGAAGAAAATTTTGCCATTCCTGTATTTTACTGAAAGAAAGAAATGCCTGAAGGCAGTCTATTTAGTGACAAACAGTAAATGGTTTTGAAATGCAGGACAGAGTCCTATATTTTAAGCTATTTTCCAGTTGATGAAGTTGTACTTATCGGATAAGAGGATGAAAAAGCATTACAAGGGAAAGTTACAGAAACAACTTCCCTCTTAGTTATCTTCCATGACCCTTATTCTCCTTTCCAATTCTCTAACCATTAAATACCTATATAGGAAAATGCAGCACAATTATAAAGAGTTTCAATTTCACACTACAAAGGAAAAAAAAGTATACTGGTATCCATCCCAAATTATGCTTTTCTCACTCACAGCAGCAGGGAGTAAAATCAAACTGAGTTCCGAGTAAACTCACAAAGACAGATGTCATCTACTTCACAATATATCCCTGTGAAAACAATGACCAGGTAATACAGGTTCCTTCCAGAGCTGTGTTAATGAAAAGGAGGGTTGGTGGATGCACCTAGTACACCATGCCCTGTTTTGAGCTTCATTCACTCAACAATTATTAAGCCCCCACTGTATGCAAGGCAATGTTCTACACCCTGAAGTTATACATCACAAACAAGCTAAGTCTTCTTTCTAGAAAAACAAAGCAAACATGCATTTCAATTGATTCCCTGGCAAAACAACTTACTTTTTAGATCTAAATATAATCCTTTTTTTTTTTGAGACGGAGTCTCACTGTGTTGCCCAGGCTGGAGTGCAGAGGCACGATCTCGGCTCCCTGCAAGCTCCGCCTCCTGGGTTCATGCCATTCTCCTGCTTCAGCCTCCCGAGTAGCTGGGACTACAGGCGCCCACCACCACGCCCAGCTAATTTTTTGTATTTTTAGTAGAGACGGGGTTTCACCGTATTAGCCAGGATGGTCTCAATCTCCTGACCTCATGATCCGCCCGTCTCGGCCTCCCAAAGTGCTGGCATTACAGGCGTGAGCCACTGTGCCTGGCCATATAATCTTTTAGGTTGTATTCTATTTACCAAGTATGTAAAATGATAAATAAGAGATATCTTTAAACTACACCCATGAGCCGCCTTCTGACAGGAATGAATGTGTTTAACGGTGTTTAATAAAAATAATAACTAAAGGGTACACCCAAAGGTGAGCTCCTAAGGCTCAGTGCCTAGCTCACTTTAGGCTAGATACCATTTAGATGCTACTGTGATAACTGTAAATGAACTCCTGGAACACTGTAAATGTAAACGAATTCCTAATGACAAATCCACATCTGTTTTTGTTCTTGTGGGTTTTTTTCTGTTGAGGTATGAACCCAGCTGTGCGCCTGTGTGGGTTTACATTGTGCCTAGCTCACTTCAGTCTAGATATCATCTAGATGCCACAACCCCTTTCTAGTGTTGTGCTAAGGGGTGGTTCACAACACTAGTGCAAGACACGATTTGCATTTAATATAACCCCCATTGCAGCACTCTCAGTTTGCATTTGTATTCTCATAAACTGCTTTCTTCTGTAAACATAAAGCCTTAAATATAGGACAGTGAAAAAAAACGTTTTAAGTCTTCACTTCGAATGTCTTAGAAAAAGCAGTGGTAATTAAAATTAGGTTTTAATGTTAGTGGTTTTAAAGTACGTTCTAAAACAATTTCACACAATAGTAAATGACAAATAATTAATTTCCCAAGATAATCCCAAGCCCACGCAACTAATTAAGGAAAAATCTAGGTGCTTTTAATCTAGACACAATACTATGTGAGATGAATTCTAATACGTCAATCTGGCTAGGTACTTCTATGAAGGGATTTTTCAGGTTTTATGTCCCCAGTCAGTTGAGGGGAGATGGTCTTGGGAGGGCCTGGCCTAATCAGTAGAGCCCTCTGAATGAGAATTTAGGCCTTCCGTGATCTCACACTCTGCAGTAGCTCAAAATCTTCCCTTCCTGACCAACTGCCCTCTGAAATACGACTTGCTTAGCCAGCCCCTGTAACTGTGTACATGAATTTCTTTTGACAAATCCACACCTGTTTTTGTTCTTGCGGGTTTTGTTCTGTTGAGGTATGAAGCCTGTGTGGGCTTAGACCCAACTATCGGTACCAAATGCTCTAATCAGTCAGGGTTCAACCAGAGACACAGAACCAGCAGGAGACACAAACCCACGCAGGCACAAGAAAGGAGAACAAACTAACACGAAACCCGGGGATGAGCAAACAGAGGGGAGCAGCAAGAACAGGGAAAAGATGACTGGGAGTCAAGAAACTTGGGTTCAGTCCCAGCTCTGCCCTGTCATTTTCCCTCACCTGTAAAACTGGATCAGAAATCTTACAAAAACAAAAAACCTCTTCGGTATTTCCCTCAAACAGGATCCTCCTCACATCTGTTTTTATATTTAAAAAATAAAAACAGAAAAGAAAAAGAACCAGCATGAGGTCATTCTGTGTGTGTACAGAAGACTGATGATTACCTAGCAATGAGGGTCCTTGTAGCTGACACTGTCTTCCGTCAAAGCCCTGTGATGTCAGCATCTTTGTGAATGCAAAAACTGTGTACATCTAACAGCAGACTTTAAAAGCAAAACACACATCCCAGAACTAAAAAACCATGTACAATGCTGAAGCACTAGAGCCTACAGAAATCATATATTACATTTAAACTATTTTTCTTCAAAATATATTGAACTGCACGAGATTAATATGCTGCATCCTGTTTTTTAAAAGCCAGGTGAAAGAGCTTACTTTGAAGAATAACTAGAAAAATTTGATTGATTCTGAGAATGAGCTGGCTTTGCAGGCTCGGAGAGATGGCTGGCAGCAATGTGTGCAGGAGGCTTATTCTCAAAACTTCTTCGGTCAAAGTATGAGAGCTGTTTTCGATAATATTCTTCATCTTCTTCAGGGTCATAATGATTTGACCGAACAATATCTTCAGGTGGCTTCAGTTGAGGCTTTTGAGGTTCTGGGATCCTAACAGACAATGAATGACAAATGGAACACCTTTTTAGATATTAATGTTATGAAGGAAGTAGAGTATGTAAGTCTTACCTTGACCAAAAGGTCAATAATTACTAACTGCTGTGATTACTGAGGATCTGAGCAGTCCAACAGTTAGAATAGATATTTCAAATCCCATGTCCCCACAGAGTATACTCAAAAGGCAGCCCCCTTCTGGCTCATGAGTCCTTTAACACAATTTAATAAGCTAAACGATTATATGATTAGGGGACAGCAGTTTAGAAGTAGTTACTCAGAAAGACAAAGGGGAATGCAACCAAGACAGTGAGCATCTTGAGAAGTACATATATGAAGGTCAAGAACAGTAAATGATAGACTTTAAGAACTTTCACAGGGATTTTTAAGAACTCAGTCCAGGATCTCAATGATTCTCATATGAACGAATAACTCTATATGGTCTAAAGTTCTAGAAGGCATAGAAAGCAGATGAGGAAGAAAGCAAGTCACTAAGGAAATGCATATTAGACAGCTCTCTTCTTTACGATAAGTGCAAACATATATTCCGGCAAAAAAAAAAAAAAAAATCAGAAGAACTATTCAAATCTAATCTGTCACTTATTGGCAGTGCAATGAAGCCATGGGAAAAAGCTCAGGCTGAGGAGCAGCGGGCCAGGTTTCTCTTCCAGCTCTAAGAAGTCTTGTAAGCTACTTAACCCCTCTCAGCCTCAGTCTCTCTCTACGATGCAGAACACCACTGTCACCTCATTATGCTGATGTGTTTAGCACAAGGGCAAGCACCTGATGCATGCTCACCGAATGATTTAGTTATCTTAACCAATCTGAGTCTGTTTCCTCACCACTGGAAACTAAGAGGTCACATGTTGAAAAGCACTTTTAAAACTAAAAAACATAATACAAATGTCAGAGCTTAAAAATGTTTATTTAATCATCTGCTCGGAGACTATCCTTCCGAAAGTTTGCTAAAGGTATAAAGATTTGTCAGAAAAGGCATAATAAAGTTCTACTTTTTTTTTTTTTTCTTAGAATCACTGTGTAGGAGAGCTGATAGTTTTTATTTAAGGACAAACTCCTCCTATTCACACCTCTCCTCTACTAACACAGTAAAAGGTCTTCTCATTGACTAAGAGGGATACATTCCTGGTCAGTTCTATGCCACAAAGAGCACAAAGTGCACTCACCTGTATAGAGTTTTGTCATGTTCACTGAATTGATTCTGAGAAGTGGGTTTGGGACCAATGATGGGAGCACCTGAAGGTTTAGATGCTACTTCTGGAGGCTGTTTAGGAGAAAAAAAAAAAAGACAAATATGCCTAAGGAACAGATAATTACAGAATAGATACCATGTAATGGGGGAGGGGAGAGCTAAGAAGCCTTTTAAACCATGTGCCTATGCATCCAAGGCAGGAAAGACATATTTACCTTAAAAGTGGCAGTGTCATTTACATCCTTCTTGGTCTCTAAGGATGCAGATCTTTTGTTTTCAAACATCTTAACTCTGGTGAGTACAGACTGTGGCTTCATTGCTGGATCTTCCTCTTCTTCGGTTTGAGTTGGGGGTGGAGGCAGCGGTTTGGTATTTGAAGGCAGAGCTTCTGGCTTATGCTGAGATGAAGGTATCAGCGGAGGGACAGCTGCAGCACCATGGAGAGGCTCAAAATGACCTGCTCTAGAGGTAAATCCTTGGGGTGGGACTTGCTCGTAACTGCGTGAATATTGCTCAAAATACTGCTTGGGCTCTGCGGGCTTGGGCCCTGCTGAAGGGTAGGGCTGGGTTTCCGGCCTGTGTCTACCATGCGTGTCATACCCAGGAACTGACTGCTCTTCGTGCCGCAGGGCAGACACTCTAGGTGCCTGTTCGTAACGTGGTCTGCTGTCATAGGACAGAGGGGCTGGCTCTTCAAAACGTGGAAAGTACCCGCGTTCTGAGGACTCTTCGGGATGCTGTCTGGAGTCAAGGTCTCGAGAGTGCTGATTATCAAAAGGTGGCCGAGATGGGTAGGGCTGTTTGTCATCATAATATGACCACTGTTCTTCATACATGGGGACGCGATCTTCGTATCGCAGACGATGTTCATAGTTTCGAGAAAACTGGTCCGTATAGCTTGAGGACTCGTATCTGTACGTGGGCTGCTCAAGGTCTCTGCTGGCTTGTTTCTCTACGTATGGGAGTTGGGGTTCATAGGTCAGATTAGGCTCTTTGTCTGGCCTGTGCCCTGGGTGACCAACGGCTGGCTGTTTCAAAACATGGTTTTGTCTCATCATTTCCTCGGGATATGGATCCTTTCTGTACACCTGTATAAAAAATTCACATTTAAGGACAAAGTCTTGTTTTTAATTTTAGTCTATTTTATTAGACTATGATTAAATATTAAACTATGATTTAATATGTGAAAATGGTACATTTTACCATTTATTATCAGGATAGACAAGATTAGTGGAAAATGCTGGTTTAAGTGAAAGCTCAAAATTTATAATGCAGGTAGGGGCTTTTATGTTTCAGCATGTACTAAACAGTGAGTTAAGATAAATATTAAATTTAGTAGAAAATTAATGCACTAAACTTGATTACACTTCATTTTGACACTGGAAAATCCTAAAGAAAATTTATGGGCATCATAATCTGTGTTAACATAAATATGTTTATGATGGGTTTCGATTACGTATTAAGGAATTCTGGAAGATACTGAAAGCCAAAAATAAAAATAATAAACAATAAGCACAAATCTCAATTAAAAGGCCTGTTTTCAAATAATCAGTATACCAATGGAAGCCATGCAAACTACAAAACTGAAATGATTTGTATTGATTTGAAAGCATTACAGTGTACAAGCCCGCAGTAAAAAAGCAAAAGAAACACTTAAAGGGCAAAGCAAAAATGATCATGTGCCAGATTGATGGAGAGCAACAAATGAGTGCAACACCGCAGCACAGGTACCTTTGTTGGATCTACATGCGACGACAATGATGGTTCTTGATCTCTTAGCATTATGTGAGCTGCCTCAGTACTTGGTGTTCTTAAAGAATCAGCTTGTGGTGAGTAAGTGGTGGAAGGAGCTGGGGTGGGCTCCTCCAGTCTGACATTAGTTAAATTTACATTATGATTAACAGCAGAGGTTGATGATGCTGGGTTTGTTTCAGGCGAAAGGTAAGGGACTGGAGATGAAGCTTCTGCTTTCTGTGAAGTGTTTAAAATATTTTAAATATAGTGTTTCTGTTTACTGCTAACTTCCCACTTCAATTTATAGTGATTGGTAGACATACATTTTAAGTGTGCTGAATAACAACACTATGACCTCATGTCCTAAACTTTCCAGAAAAAAAAAAAAAAAAAAATCCAGTACATTGCTGTGTTAAGACAAACACACAAAATTTAGAATTAAGTCCTTGGTACTCTCAAATTGAAATTGAAGATTAATTCTTAATCTGGAGAAAGGACAACATATATATTTTTAACTCAATCACCACATTCTAAAATTTAATAATGCACCTCTATCTACAAAACGTTGAATGTTTGCTGCTTACCTGTTGAGAGGCTGGCTTAAATCCAGGGGAGTCTATTCTATGAATTGGTTGTGGCTGCGCTTGTGGTGAGTAAGGAGGATATGTTTGGTTTTCATGATGCATTCCAGAGGAGTCCTCTCTTACAGGCTCAGAGGACCGTGTAATGGCAGACTCCGGTGGAGTCCCAACCTCATCATTAAGAGTTTCATCTAGTTCTTGATCAGTGTAGGCCCCGCCTTCTGTGTCTGTGTCTTCATAGTCAGAAGTGTGTCTACTGTCCGTGCTATACATTGAGTATTCACTACCTGGAGCTGACAGGTAGGACAGACGATCATCATGCAAATCAAGGTCATCACTTGTAGCACCATCCGCCTGGGTCAAATAAAAGTAAATTACAAATTTTATTCAGTAGTTCTTTAAGAGATGGCCTTTATCGTATAAGGGAGATTGAAAAGGATATCTTTCTCTGGAGAAGTCACATCTACTTCTTGAAACTTCTGGTAAGGAAAAGTCAAGAAGATTGCACAAGCACACACACAGACACACAGAGCACCCCTTGAGATCTGAAGAGCATGGATGAAGGAAACAGTGGCTGGTAAGCCAGGACAAAGTCAGACTCCAGGGCCCAGCCCTGGAAGACGACGAAGAAACCCTGACACTGCTCAGATTTATAAAACCTACTGACTAGCTCTTCAGCCCTTTTAAGCAAGGGGAAGAGGGAGAATTATCAAACTAAGCTCACAGAAACAAGGACACACTGACAGAACAGCACATGGGAGAATACCTATGAAACAAACCCAGCAGTTCAAAAGTTGAACAAGAGCTAATATATTTATGTTTAGGAAACAACTGATATGGTTTGCATTCGTGTTCCCACCCAAATCTCATGTTGAATTGTAATCCCCAGTGTTGGGGGAAGGGCCTGGTGGGAGGTGACTGGATCATGGGGGTGGTTTCTAATGGTTTAGCATCATCTCCTTCACACTGTCTTGTGGTAGAATTCTCCCAAGATGTTTTTTTAAGTGGGCAGCACCTCCCCTACTCTCTTCCTCCTGCTCCAGTCATGTAAGACGTGCTTCCTTCCCCTTCCACCATGACTGCAAGTTGCCTGAGGCCTCCCCAGAAGCAGGAGCCTGTACAGCCCGCAGAACTGTGAGCCAGTTAAACCTTTTCTTTATAAATGACCCACTCTCAGGTGGTTCTTTATCGCAGTGTGAGAATGGACTAATACAGTAAATTGGTACCAGAGAAGTAGGACATTGCCAAAAAGATATCTGAAAATGTGGAAGCAGCTTTGGAACTGGGTAATGGGCAGAGGTTGAGACAGTTTGGAGGGCTCAAAAGAAGACAGAAAAATGAGGGAAAGTTTGGAATTTCCTAGAGACTTGTAGAAATGTTTTGACCAAAATGCTGATAGTGATATGGACAATAAAGTTCAGGCTGTGGAAGTCTCAGACAGAGAAGAACAACTTACTGGGAACCGGAGTAAAGGTCATTAATTCTTGCTATGCTTTAGCAAAGAGACTGGTGGCACTGTGCCCCTGCTCTAGTGATCTGTGGAACTTTGAACTTGAGACAGATGATTTAGGGTATCTGGTGGAAGAAATTTCTAAACAGCAAAGCATTCAAGAAGCGACCTGGCTGCTTCTAACAGCATGTGTTCATATGTGTGCACAAAGAGATTATCTGAAACTAGAACTCATATTTAAAAGGGAAGCAGAACATAAAAGTTTGGAAAATTTGTAGCCTGGCCATGTGGTAAAAAATAAAAACCAATTTTCTGGGGAGGAATTCAAGCTGGCTGCAGAAATTTGCTAAGTAAGGAGGGACAGAATGTTAACAGCCAAGACAATGGGGGAAAATGTCTCCAGGGCATATCGGAGACCTTTGTGGCAGCCCCTCCCATCTCAAGCCCCCTTCATCTCAAGCCCGGAGGCCTAGAAGGGAAAAATGGTTTTGTGAGCCAGGCCTGGCCCTGCTGCTCTGTGCAGCCTCAGCACATGGTGCTCTGCATTATGGCTGCTCTAGCTCCAGACATGGTCAAAAGGGGCCAAGTTACAGCTAAGGCTGTTGCTTCAGAGGGTGCAAGCCCTAAGCCTTGGCAGCTTCCACATGGTGCTAAGTCTGTGGATGTACAGAGGCAGACAGTAGAGGCTTGGGAGCCTCTGCCTAGATTTCAGAGATGTATGGAAATGCCTGGATGTCCAGGCAGAAGTCTGCTGCAGGAGCAGAGCCCTCATGGAGAACCTCTAGGGCACTGTGGAAGGAAAACGTGGGGTTGGAGCCCCCACACAGAGTCCCCACTGGGGCACTGGCTAGTGGAGCTGTGAGAAGAGGGCCATTGTCCTCCAGACCCTGAAAGGTAGGTCTGCCAACAGCATGCACCATGCACCTGGAAAAGCCACAGGCACTCAATGCCAGTCCATGAAAGCAGCTACAGGGGTTGTGCCCTGCGTGGCTTCAAAGGCCTTGGAGGCCCACCCCTTGCATCAGTGTAGCCTGGGTGTGAGCTGAGGAGTCAAAGGAGATTATTTTGGAGCTTTAAGATTTGATGACTAATCTACCTATTTTTGGAATTGCATGGGGACTGGAGGCCCTTCGTTTTGGCAGATTTCTCCCTTTTCAAAAGGGAGTATTTACCCAATGCTTATATCCCCTTTGTCTCTTGGAAGTAACTAACTTGTTTTTGATTTTACAGGCTCCTAGGTAGAAGGGAGTAGCCTTGTCTCAGATGAGACTTTCAACTTTTGAGTTAATGCTGAAATGAGTTAAGACTTTGGGGCACTGTTGGGAAGGCACCATTCTATTTTGCAAAGTGAGGAGGACATGAAATTTGGGAGGGAGCAGCGACAGAATGATATGGTTTGGATTTGTGTCCCCAGCCCAATCTCATGTTGAATTATAATTCCCAGTGTTGGAGTGGGGCCTGGTAGGGGATGATTGGATCATGAGGGCAGTTTCTAATGGTTTAGCACCATCCCCCTAGTGCTATCTTGTGATAAGAGTTCTCCCAAGATGTGTGTTTTTAAGTGTGTGGCGCTCTCCGCTTTTCTCTCTTCCTCCTGCTCCAATCATGTAATTAAGATATGCTTGTTTCCCCTTCACTGTCTGCCATAAGTTTCCTGAGGCCTCCCCAGAAGCAGAAGCCTGTACAGCCCACAGAATTGTGAGCCAATTAAATCTCTTTTCTTTATAAATTACCCAGTCTCAGGTAGTTCTTTACAGCAGTTCAAGAGTAGACTAAAACAACCTGTTAAACATTTGGCCCTTAAAGCTGTTATGAAACACAATGGAAATCATCACCTACGTGGTGGTTGCCACATTAAGAAGAAATTCTTTATTATTTTTCATAGAAGCAGTATCCAACGGATGGAGAGGGAAAAATACAGTAATGCTTTTCTTTTGTAAGTAATTAAGAACTCAGTTTCTAATAGTTTATGTTGATTGTCTTCGGAGTAGATCAGAAAGAAAGTGAGAAGTATTTGAGGGAAAGGAAGCTACAGAGTTGCAATCAACAGGTTATCACTGGACACTAACGTGACACTAGTACCTGGATTAAAAAGAACACTCCCTGAAGACCCTGCCTAGACAATGTGCTCAGTCATGACAGCTGAAGGATCTGGAATCCAGAAATCAGAAAGTATTTCTTCCACTTCAGTATGGACCGAAAGACAAACATAAGACTCTTGTCCTCCAGGAAGATGTATTGCTATTAACTAGCAGGTTTGGTGTGGCTCTGCACATCTGCTGTGCCAGAAGCATGGTCTTGGGAGTCAAGCTGCCTGAATGGAGCTTTCCATGCAGTCCCCAAGCTTGGTTTGTTAAGACTCTGACCTTGAGCACGACCTTCCTGATAAGAAAGACTAGGGTGTGTCAGGTCTCCCCATGCTCCGGTTTTCGAGAGAGTATCTGCCAGGCTGGGCTGGGGAGAGTGGGAATCCAGGGATCTATCCTGTTAGAGCACAATCTCTCTGAACAAGTCTCAATGGCTTCTAAACTCGGTAACAACTGTTGCAGAAGAAAAGTCTTCTTGCTATCTACTCTAATCTTTAACTTGCCAGGGTTCTGAATACTATAATCCAGTAGCCACTCAAGGAAATATTGAAAGTCTGGGCAAAAATAACTTAGAACTAATCAATCCACTTAGTTTTTGCAGCTGGTTTGAAATGCATATGTGAGCAAGAACGATGAGTTGCTTTGAACTAGGAAATATGTTAAGAAAGCCTCAGGATGACTTTTCCTGGTTTAGCAGGGAACATATAAGACTGTGTTAGATCTTGTAAAAAGGAACTCTTTCTAGCAATTAGGTCAAAATAGTTGGTTCAGGAAAGTCAATGTGAAATGAAGTGGTTTTAGTTTAAGAATCTATTCTATGAAATATACTTGAAAAGAAGGGGACAGGAAGATAAGCTTTAAGTTATAACAATGTTTTCTGCCTTACAAAATGCATCAGTTTAGCCTGATAATAACCTGTTTTTCCTCACATAAAAAGCTATAAAATTGGACCTTTATTTTAAAACCAAGCAAAGAAAGCAGATAAGAATATCACTAAAAGAAATTATAAAAAATTAAGATTTGTGGATTTTAAAAAAGCCTCTCAGGTAGTAGACATGTATACTTTGTGCATTTTGGGAAAACATTTATAGACTAGTTTCATTTTAAGAATTCACTAGTGCAAGCTATTAACATTGGACCTGACAAAGGATGTTAATAGAATTGTGTTGCTATAGAAGATCAGTATGAAGACGACTACAATCCTCAAGTGCTGCAAAAGTAGAAATTAGTAATAGCGTGTTCCTGTCAAGTGGTGTGGTTTGTTTCCACCTTCATTTTCCTATCAAGTTCCAGATGACGTTATTCAGAGTGGTCTTAGGCTCTTACATACATGGTCCATCCCCCAGACTGGTTCACAAAGAGAAAAACCATAGTTCTGACACCTTACTATAGGTGAGAACAATAGACACTGCCTCTCAGTGTTAATAGCTCTCCTTGCAGAGGCTGTGTATGTCTGGGTAGGGACACGGGGGGGTCCTAAGCATGCAGCATGCACTCTCAGAGCCATCTGTAGCCACAGCCAGGCAGAGGAAGAGAGGGACCATGCGGGGGCAAAACACAACAAAAACCAAACCAACAAGAAGTACAAAAAACAAAATAAAAACCAGAGATATTCTCAATCTTCCCTAATAACCAAAACTTATTGCACTGATCTGAAAAAGGTAAAAGACATTTAAAAAAAAAAAAAAGCTTCCTTCAATGGTGTACTAGGAGGAAATGATTAACTCTCCAGACAAAATAAATAGACCTTCCCATCAAAGATTGCTATAAAACCAGAAAGACTGACAATAGAAAGTAGTTATTTTAAAGCTGGCCATTTGGACATATAGAAAACAAAATTCAAAGCCAGGAAGGATCTAGTACTTTGTTCAATATCTCCCAGTATGTTGTAAGAATGTTAATAGGTGTTGAGTGAAAAATAAATGTGAGGAAATGCATGTAGTGGGCTTTTTAACTTTAAGATGTCTCAGAGCCTTTCAATGCCAGTGGGTACCAGGATACTCCTGAAGGGGTCTAGGGTTTATTTCCCACCTGCTGCTTGCCTTCACAGTGCCTTCTCTCTCAGAGCAAGTCCTGAATTGAGAATGCTGAGGACAGCACTTTGGGAGATGCTCATCTAGGCCTCCAAATCCCCTCATTTTCAGAGGAGGAAACTGAAGCCAGGCTCAAAGTTGTCATTCATAGCCAGACAGGGGCAGCATCAGAACTCAACCTGCTCTTCATTATAATTTGAGATTCTTTAGGAGACAATCCTACTGTAGTGGTAATTCAACAGGTGAGAAAATTTAAGAATTCTCTTACCATCAGAAACAACTTTCATAACCCCTACACACAAATTATAAAAACCTAAAAGCTAACTTTCCCTAAATTTCTCCAAAATGTTGATCTAATTAGAAAGCACTGGTACCTCAAATGCATCTCTGATTAGTTACATAGTTTACTGAACAAGTCAAAAACGTAACAGGAAATGTCTTACCTTTCCCTCAGAAACCCACACCAGCTGGTTTTGCTGCTGTTGAATTGCTTCTTTCAGGGCACCATACCAACCATCATTCATTGAATTTAAGTTAATTGTAGCTGAAAATAAATTAACGATGTAGTTTTATGGTTAGAGCACTGCCAAAAGTCAGAAGAATTCAACCCTGCTTACAGCTAAATCGTCATTACTGAAAGATGGTATCTGAGGATGCAAACGTCTGAAATTTCTATTTTGCTACTGTATATTTTCTTTTAACCAAACAGCAGCTGTTAACACAACAGGAAACTTTCCAAGAAAAGATTGTGTAAGTTTTAGTATTTGAACACTGTAACATTTTGGCCTACTTAAATGTTGCCCAGGCATTGTAAGCTGAAAGAAGGCCTTTATTAACATACTCACTTGTAAAAAGATGGTGATTATTTTTACGAAGTTTATGAGATCGCTCATATAACTTCCTGGCACTTTTCCGAGATTCTGGACATAACCTCATTCTCATTGTTTTTACTCCTTGCTTAGAATCAGGATTAAGAAATACAACAATTGGATACCACTGGGCATAGTTAAGACGATCAACTGCATTTGGTGTTACATCTAATAAAGCATGTTTGTCCTAGAAAAAGAAAGCAAAATATATACAAAGACACAAGACATCATTAATTAAGAATCATCACATTCAGTTGGGTGCGGTGGCTCACGCTATGCCTATAATCCTAGCGCTTCGGGAGGTCGAGGTGGGTGAATCACTTGAGGCCAGGAGTTCGAGACCAGCCTGGGCAGTATGGAGAAACCCCGTTTCTACTAAAAATACAAAAACTAGCAAAGCACAGTGGTGCACGCCTGTAATCCCAGCTACTTCAGACGTTGAGGCACAAGAATTGCTTGAACCTGAGAGGTGGAGGCTACAGTGAGCCGAGATCACGCCACTGCAGTCCAGCCTGGGCGACAGAGCAAGACCCTACCTCAAAAACAAAAACAAACAAAATTTCAGTGGTAACGGATCTTTAATTGTATTCTAATGTCTCAGGAGCACATATTAAAAAACTAATTTTAAGTTAATTCAATTCCATTTCTAGCCAAATTTCTAAAAACCTTTCTATGAAGTTCACTTTTAAGACTTAGCCCTAACACCGCCATCTGACAGTATTATCCGTGTGCAGTTAGAAAAAAATAAGTTTAAGAATTTAATGTTCCTGACATTCCTTATGAATGTAAATATCAAACTACAACTTGAATTGTACTGATGTAATATATAAGCAGTCTGTTAATTCCATCTAAACATCATACACTTGTTTTCTGGTAATGAAAAATCATCTTCTGATGCCTACAGTAACGATTCCCTTGAAAGTAATTATTATAATGCTTTTCAGTAAGGGCTTAATTTTCTTATAGTATGTCAGTAATAGTCTTAGAAAAACTACCTTCTACTTTCAAATTTACCAAATCCCATCCCACTCAAAACCACAATAACATAATGAAATAGGCCAAATTTTTAATAACTTACTTGATCTATGATTTGCTTTATTGTATGCAGGCGAATAATGCCAGAGCTACGTTGGTCAGTTCCAGCGTCTCGTGGTTCACTCTCTATTCATTACGTCAGGACAAAAATAAGACATCAAATTTTCATTGGTTAGATGAGAGTTTCTCAGCTGCTGGCCACCACTGATATGCCGGGCTGGACAGTACTTTGTTTGTGGAAACTGTCTTATGCATGCAGTACTTAAAGTAAGTTTTAATATGCACACTTCTCATTTTTTTTTTCACTATTTTTCCAACTACTTTAATAGTCTGGAAAAAAATTAGCCATTAAAGAAGAAAAAATATATAGGAATGCACATTGTTTTCTTTTGCCTGGGGCTCTAACATGGCTCAACACGGCACCACCTCCCACCCCTTTTCACACTGTGACATCCAGAGAAAATATTACTTGTATGGCACACTGAGATAAACTGAGGAGGCTGCTCCTGTGCCAAGCTCTAACCAGCCACTACTGGCTGAAGAGGTCAATACCTTGGCATGTCCATCAACCATCAGTAATGGTGCTATAGCAGATTGCCTAGGGAGTTCTGGGTTAGAGACCTTAGTTACATCAGTAGAAGGGGAACCTAGGGGCAGGGAGTGGTTCATCTGTAACTGTGAGACAACCTATGGCTTCATCCTGGCAACCTGTCTTCACTGGTGTATAATGTGCCAAATGCAGCTTGGACTGGTTTCCAACCACCATCTCAGAGCACAGCAACGTTTGTGACTGTGGTCACAAGGAAAGTTTGAAAGGAAAGGAAGAGCTTTGGTGTTTCAGAGATCAAACAGAGGCAGAGATCTGGAAAGACAAGTGACACTGATGGTCAAGATAAATGGTTTTAGAGAATGAGACTACCATAAGACAAAGCACCATGGGCAAGCAGGGCAGAATTTCAAATCTAGTGAACACTGGAGAATTAAGAAGAAAGACCAACTGGGAATTCTGGCTGGAAAAAAAATGTGACTAACTCTTCAATTCAAAAGACTGTCATTAGATTCAAAGAAGATATACAACTAAGCTACCTGAATTCCTCTTTGTGGAGTAAACCTGATTAAACCAATGTATTACCCTTTAAGGCAGAGCTTTGTAAGTCATCATACTTGCTTTTCCCAAATCTAAAAATCCTACATTTGGTTATGGATAAGGGTCACCACCAACTTCTTCAGGTGAAATGTCATCTACAGATAACTTAGCCAGGCACAGTGGGAGGTGCCTGTAATCCCAGCCACTAGGGAAGGCTGAGACAGGAGAATCGCTTGAACCCAGAAGGCAGAGGTTGCAGTGAGCTGACATTACATCAGTGCACTCCAACCTGGGCAACAGAGTAAGACCTTGTCTCAAACAAAACAAAATAAAACAAAACAAAACCTCTTCTGAATAAACTAAAAAGATAGAAATAAACACTTTCTAACTTGCTCAGATTTTATTCAAATCATTTGTCTGCAAATCTTCTGATGTTCAGAAAATAAATATCCTTATTCAATTTAATTGGCAATCAAATGAAAAGCAATGTATTAAAGAAAAGATGATGTTCTGATTCTTTAAATTAACACTGTGCAGTTTAAAGATGTTACTGAGGGTCAGCTGGGCGCGGTGGCTCACACCTGTAATCCCAGCACTTTGGGAGGCCGAGGCGGGCAGATCACGAGGTCAGGAGATTGAGACTGTCCTGGCTAACACGGTGAAACCCCGTCTCTACTTTAAAAAAAAAAAAAAAAAATTAGCTGGGCATGGTGGCAGGTGCCTGTAGTCCCAGCTACTCGGGAGGCAGAGGCAGGAGAATGGCGTGAACCCAGGAGTAGAGCTTGCAGTGAGCTGAGATTGCGCCACTGCACTCCGGCCTAGGCGACAGAGCAAGACTCCATCTCACAAAAAAAAAAAAAAAAAAAAAAACTTACTGAGGGTCATATAGTGCCAGTGGGAACAAAATCCCCAGCACAAGTCTCTGGAAAGCAGGAGCTTCATCATAATTATGGGAACAGCTACAAAGGATTTAAATCCTTTGGGAAACAAAGCAGGGCATAAACAAGCAAACAAAATATGGACAGATATCTGTATCTTTTGTAATAGTAATATAAATTTGAAACAAACGATATAAAAAAAGGCTAAATGAACCAAAAATTGCAGAATAATAAAATGAAAATATGCCATTACCTATGAAAAAGGAAAATAGGATATAAACTTTTCTAAACAGTATAAATAAAACTTTGCCAAAATATGCTTAAAAGAGTGGAAAAAATACAATGGAATAAAATATACGGTGGTGATATGTGTAAAAATTAATTTTCCAACTTTTCGAAACAGAGAATGGCACTTTTATAATTACAAAAACAGTTTAAAAATAAAACAAAACCAGGTGCAGTGGCTCATACCAGTAATCCCAGCACTTGGGGAGGCCAAGGCCAGAGATCACTTGAGCCCAAGAGCTCACGGTCAGCCTAGACAACATAGGAAGACCCCGTTTCTACAATAATAATAATAATAATAATAATAATAATAAAAATAAACTAGCTAGGCGTGTTGGCACACGCCTGTAGTCCCAGCTGCTTGGAAGGTTGAGGTGGGTGGATTGCTTGAACCCATGAGTTTGGGACTACAGTGAGCAATGATCTAACCACTGTACTCCAGCCTGGGCAAGAGTGAGACTCTGTCTCTAAAAAAATAAAGTAAATAAAACAAGGATCTCTAAGCAAAACGTATTTGGCAAACAAAGCACTGCAACCTCAATACTTATACTTACTATCTTGTTATAAATGTCTGCAATCATAACAGCTGATAACAGTAGCACTGTTTTATTACCCTTTTCAACTATTTGTGTATTTGTCAGTTTAATGACTCTAAGAGCTGGAATGCAGCAAGAAAGGGTCGTGGTCAAAGCCGAGTCTTGTCACTCGTTCACTGAGGGTCACCAGGAAGTTTAGACTGAAGAAACTGGTAAGGATCCACACAATCACCATCTAAGTCTCAGGCTGCTCAACTGTAACATGGATATTATACTCCTTACCTCAGAGCATGACTGTGAGGATTCCACGACATTGTATGTTACCCAATTTTCATATGAAGCCAAGAGTTTCCTAAACAGTGATTTTTTCTCATTAAAAGAATTGGTGGAACAAGGACATGGTCACTGGGGTTTTCTCACCAAATTAAAAGAATGGGATAAACTGCAATTTTTCACTGACAAAAAGTCTTATTTTTATTGAGTGAATCAGAACTCACTCACTTTAGAGGTGTAACTCCCAACCTCATTTAAGTTAGCCCTGAAGCTACTTACTTGCAATTTGATAAATATCTGGTTCTTCTCTAGCCAGCTTTTCTCTGGCAACATCAGCTATTGGTCCAAAAATGGTTACAGGCCTCAGAAATCCAGCTGGAAAGAAATTCACACGAAAAACAGCATATTTTATACCTTTTCTTTCTTAAACATATTGACGTTAAAGGGTATTAGGTTAGTCTGTAGAAAATAAACTACCTTCTCGAAGAACCACTCTTTCATAAGCTGGAAACTTTGTTTGAACAGGCTGAGCAGACAAATCCTCTCTGCTCTTTCGAAGATTTCTCTTGGAGCTGCGAAGACCTCGGAATCTCCAGAAGTCGGCGCGGTCTCCTCCTGCTGTCTTTGGAAGTGTGTACTGTACACTGGCCAGCTGCTCAGCTCTACACAGGAAAGGAGAAAATTAAAGTAAGGGCATTTAAAATGCAAAATGGAAAAAGACCCACAATGAAATGAAATGTACAATACTGGATAGAAGTTCATATGCAGTTTAAATCTTAATGGTTATAATAAAGAGGAGTTTGTAAAGCTAAGCCAGTTATAGATATGAATACAATGAAAAATAATTCTTTACATTACCAAAATTTCCCAGTGGGACTGAAATTATCTATCATCATTTACTTGATTCACTCTATGAGAAGTATCCAAGCATTCCTACCTGTTCTTATTAGGGATGATGCCTCGTTCTACCTCCTTATGATTTTTGCCAATTCGAATAGCAAGCCAAGAGCCCAGTTTTCCATTGTACAAGGTATCCACAACACGGAACACCTCTCCTTTGTTAAAACTAAGTCCATAGGGAGATTCCTTTTCATATTCAAAATGGGTTCTAATATAGAAAGAATCTCCTACATCTGATTCTACAATGCGACGATAAACTAAAAGGAATAAAAACAAACACATTATCAATATTTAGTGGGATAACAATCTCAAAGAGTATATTATGTAAAGATGCTATGATAATATCAACAACAGTATCCAACAAATTCTTACTACGTGCCGGGTACTGTATTAAGTATTTTATTTCATGTATTCATCACTGTAAGAACTGAAACTCTTAGTATGTCCATTTTGCAGATTAGGAAACTAATGCAGAAAATACATCAAGTAACTTGTCAAAAGCCACATGCTTGTTTTCTATTATATCATCTAACTTATCTGCAAACATTATAGATATTTCCATATCTAAATCAGCAGTTCTCAAATAAAGGTAATTTTATCCCTCGCCATCCAACACTGGACATTTGCCAATATGTAGTTCTGACTGTCCCATCTGTGTACTGAAAGGGTAGGGGGTGTGTGCTAGTGGCATCTCATCTAGTGAGCAGAGGTTAGGAATGCTCCTAAATATCCACAATACACAGGACAGCCCCTAAACCCACATTATTTGGTCCAAAATGTCAACAGTGCCAAGGCTGAGAACCCTGGCTCTTAGTGAAAACTGTATCTACTTTATTACAGAAAAAATGGAGTTTTCTCTTGAATTAATGCTAATAAACAACTGAGTGTATTGCTTAGAAACATCAGCACAAAATTTGAAAGCTGCTCATATATACTTTTGTATGGTTCTGATGGCTAATCAATCAACACTTTCTATCACTTGTATAGGGTTGGACGGCATTTTATTTAAATGAGAATACTATAAAGGTTAGTACTATTAGCATGCTCTGCTAATGAGAATCATCTGAAATTCTGTGCCCCTAAATGACTTAGAATATGTAACTTTCTCTGAGATTAACAAATTCATTCATCACTCAACTTTGAGTGACTTATTTTTTAAAAATGGAATAAATTCCTTTGTAAGTCCTCAAACTCCACAGGTTTATCTCCTTCATTTTCTGACAGCATCTCACCATCCTTCTTCTTCTGAGCCAATATGGTCACTTCTTCTCCTTTAGGGAGGTCAAGCAGGAAAAGGACGGCTTCTTCTCTTATGATATTTGTAAAATCTACATTGTTTACCTATTAAAATAAGATTTCATAAATCATTCTTGGCTGTTTAAGAATATGAAAATAACATACACAGATACTCTCAGTCTACCTAATTTGAAAATATCACTCTTTTTTTTTTTTGAGACAGAGTCTCCCTCTGTCGCCCAGGCCGGAGTGCAGTGGCACGATCTTGGCTCACCGCAACCTCCACCTCCCAGGTTCAAGCGATTCGCGATTCTCCTGCCTCAGCCTCCCGAGTAGCTGGGATTACAGGTGCCCACCACCACGGCCAGCTAATTTTTTTATATTTTTAGTAGAGACGGGGTTTTGCCATGTTGGGCAGGCTGATCTCGAACGCCTGACCTTAGGAGATCCGCCCGCTTTGGCCTCCTAAAGTGCAGGGATTACAGGCGTGAGTCACTGCCCCCGGCCGAAAATATCACATCTTTAAGAGGAAAAAACTTATTTTACTGTGGAGAAAAGAATACCCTCTAATTTTAAAAAAACAGAAAGTAAATAAAGTGAGTTGAAGGCATAAATTTATTTAAACAGATTCAGTGTGTCCTGACATTAAAGATAATCTCTTGTAAAATTTAACCAATTTAGATGAAAAAAGATAACTTTTTACAAGTTGCTGAGGAGAAAAATCAAAAGAAAATGGGCTTAAAAAGACAGTCTGCGCTGTGGCGTCCCTGTAACAGCACCTGTGTAATGCAGGCTCAGTGTCTGCCAAGTAAATGTTTACTTCCATTAGAAGCTTCTAAATGCCAAAATGAACTTATCAAAATGTCACCAGTGACTCTGTGCAGGATTACAGGCAGGTTTTCTTCTTTCCACCTTTTGGAAATTTTCCAGATTAAAAAAAAAAAAAAAAAAAAGCCAAAAAGCCCACAAACAAAAAAATCTGACATGCACCACTTTTATGATACAAAACAAAACTGAACTATTAAGAAACATTTTTTAGCCAGGCGCAGTGACTCATGTCTGTAATCCCAGCACTCTGGGAGGCCAAAGTAGGTGGATCGCTTGAACCCAGGAGTTTGAGACCAGTCTAGGCCATGTGGTGAAACCCTGTCTCCACAAAAAATACAAAAATTTGCCAGGTGTGGTGGTGAATGCCTGTGGTCCCAGCTACTCAGGAGGCTGAGGGGAAGATCGTTTGAGCCCAGGTGTTTAAGGCTGCAGTGAGCCATGATCACACCGCTGCATTCCAGTCTGGGTGACAGTGAGGCACTGTCTTAAGAAAAAAAAAAAAAAAAAGACACATTTAAAAAATGTATGCCCTGATTATTTCAAAACAGGATTAAGAGGTGGGTAAGAAAATAGGTCTCTTTAATTTCCTTGGTATAGTGAACATTATTATACATGTTGTATTTAAATGTTTTTGACATAACTTGATTGACAACTATATAAACATCTTCAGAAAGAATCACCATATCAGATCAGATGGAAATAGGTCTGAAGTCACGATGATGCCTTGACTTTTTGACATGCTAAGTTTGAAGGGAAAAAGAGGAGGATTTAATGAGCAAAGGACAGGGCTCAGGAAATCACTCAGAGTGAAAAGATTTTGATTGTGAGCTGCTCACTTGAGCAACCAAACCCAAGAAAGAGGCAGTATAGCAAGAGAAGCAGAGAATAACCAACATTCCCAAGTTTTAAAAGTATCAGTAAAGAAGGCAGGAAAAGAATAAAAAAATTAGAGTACCAGAATGGCAGTATTATGGAATCTAAGGAAGAAAGTACTTCAAAAAAGATTAAGACAGTCAAAACGCTGCTAAAAAATAAAGGAAAATGAGGCTTGAGGATGACATTAGCTCAGCCATGGTTTATTGAAAACTGAGCTTCAGTAGTGGTGAAGGTGGAAGCCAGGCTGTAAAACTATATGACCACAATGACTGACAAGAAAACAGGCAAGGGCCTCAACCACATCCTTCAACAAGTTCAACAGCAAAACAGGACAAATAAGACAGTGGAAGACAGATGAAGAACCACGGGAGACAGAAAGAGAAGAAAGTGAACAAAGCTACAAGATTCTGCAGCAGACAGGGGGCTGAATCCAGGACACTGGCAAGAGGCAGGCTGAATACAGAAAGAGACCAGAACAGAGAGGCCACGGTAAAGACTTTGTGGTGGAGAAGCAGAATAAATACAGGAGCTTACAACGGACAGATACCTTCTGATTAAAATGGGACATAATTTAATCTAGCAAATCAAATGGAGGTTTGGATATTTTAAAAAGAAACAGGAGACAGATGAAGATGGTACCATGTCACTAGATGACACTGTTTATGGGGAAGGAAGGGAGGACTCTATAGACTCTCTTGATAATCTGCATCTAACCTGGGCTTTGCTGATTTGTGTAACAGATCCTGTCTCTTGTGGAGCATGAAGTTTCAAAGCCAGGCAGCTTACACATCTGCCTTTAAGGTGAATTCCATCTCCCTGTGCCTGAGCCATTATCTGGGGTTAAGAAGGTCCCAGAGGCTGTGCGGACTGCTTCAAGATGACTCACATGGGAGTGAAACACCGGATGTTGCTTGCTGGCAAGTTGTGGCCCATGGCAGAGTCTTGCCAGTCTGAACGTTCAGTTGAACTTCCAAAGACTACCTGGTAGATATTATCATCGGGATATAAGACTTATTTTCTTCTATTTCTGTGAACACTAGTGGTAGAAATGAAATGTCATATTCTTTACTAACACATAATATAGCAGTAAACAAGAGCAAGATACAAGAATGGGAAGTGAGAAGTTACGCATAAGGTAGACCTGATGGATTCTGACTTGAAAGTTTAATTGGCTTAATGGAGACTGCATACAGATTACAATCTAATTACAGTAGTAAGCTTGTTGTTTGATACCTTTTTCTGGTGATCCAAGTACTTTCTAACCCATGTAAGTTGCAATACTGACGTACCCTGAGAATTTGATCACCTTCCTCTAAGCCTTCCTTGGCTGCAGGGCTATCTTCTAGAACGCCAGCTACAAATATTCCAACATCATTTCCACCAGCCAGTCGCAATCCCACACTATCTCCTTTTCTGAATTTTACCAATTTCATGCTGGGTCTGTTAAAACAGATATTTCATTTGAAACAGTTAAGAAGAGCTTAAAACATTATAGCAAACATTAGAGTGAAAACTACATTCAAAATTTCATAAAGAAACATCATTTCTAAAATTTCTCACACACTATTGATTTACTAAATAAAATTTAGTGTTAGAATTCAAACCAGACTTAATAACACTATTTTCTGATTAACAAAGTTTTGGAATATTCAAATTTAATATGCAAGTATTATTTTACATAACTAATTTATAAAATTACTTTGTAAAACAATGTTCTCTCAACTCTCAAAGAGTCTTGGGAATACACGGTACATTCCCAATGGCTAAAAACATCTTCCATTTTTTCTACCCCAAATCACACATCATTTCTATTAAATAACTGAAAAGTCAAATTTTTTAAAATAAAGGTAGAAATTGAACTATAAATTGGCTAATTTTCCTGACACGATGGGTCAAAATAAGGCTCCAAGCATTGTGATTTCTACATGCAATAGATAGTGATTTTTAAAAAAAACTTTGCAGTTGGTGGACTCTTTCAGTAGTTGACAGTAGTTAACTTACTTGGCTGCCCCTCTGAGTTTTACAATACAAATCATATAGTCATTCAGCCTTTCTAGATTAGCCCCACATCCAATCTCTGTCCCTTTCTAGTTCTCTGAATGGAAAAAAAAAATGCATACACACCCACCTCTAGCATCAGTGTAGTGTTGAAACCTTGTGACACTCCTCAAAACAAATACTAAAAGATGCCTTATAAGAATTGACTGGACAGAAACAGACTGTAATTAAAAATTACCCACAATATTTCCTTTCTAGGTATTCATAAGTACTCCCACATTCCTAGCCAAGAAAATACACTATTTTACCTATTCTGACAAGACGTGTAGAAAAAAATCCCTATAGTCTTTATTATGTAATAACCAAATTGTTAGAAACTAACAGATAACAACAAAAAACACAAGTCAAATAAATGAATGAATGTGCTGAGGAAGGAGAGATTTCTAGTCTCTTTAAGCCAACTAAAGAGACCACCTTAACTTTCAGAACTTACTATTTATTCACTTCTGATTGGGTGACCTGACCTGGAACTAACATCAACTTGTCGTAACAGTAACAGCCTGAGAATCAGATGAGGTCTCTCACTGGCTGGTGGCATCCTTGATCCCTCCATGAAACTATTTACCAGCTACAAATGGTCCAAGTCCCTTGGTTGTAGTGGTATCCTAGTCAGGTCAAAAGCATTCTCATAGATTCCTCTCCTAAACCCACTGTACTGAAAGCTCTTTAAATATTTCCTCGAAGTCCTTAAGACTCCAGGTCTAATTGGGTGCGGTAGCTCAAGCTATAATCCCAGCACTTTGGGAGACTGAGGCAGGAGAACTGCTTGAGCCTAGGAGTTTGTTACCAGCCCTGATCAACACAGCAAGATCCTGTCTCTACTAGAAAACAAAACAAAACAGAACACAAAAAAAAATTAGCTGGGTTTCGTGGCTCGTTGCCTGTAGTCCTAGCTACTTCGAAGGCTGAGGTGGGAGGATTCCTCGAGCCTAGGAGTTTGAGGTTATGGTGAACAATGATCGCACCATTATACTCTAGCCTGGGTGACAGAGTGAGGCCCCCTTTAAAACAAAACAAAACAAAAACAAAAACAAAAGACTATAGGTCTTTGGGAATCCTCTTCTAACCCTGACCAATCTAATGTGCTTCAGAAAGTAAAAAAACTGAGCACAGTATCCACCCTTTAGTAAAACCTGGCTTCTGAAAACCACTGTTAGAAGACAACTTTAGGCCAAATCTCACCAACAGTGTCATCTGCCTTCGATGACTGACATTTTATACTTTGTCCTGCCTGCATTATATTAACTACTTGCAATAGCAAAACAGACTCACTCACTTCTGCATCAAATCCATTCATTGGCTTTAAATGAAAAACCAAACGTTTCCTGGCACAGCTACTAATCCTGCCCACATCCACAAATCCCCTTTGGTATTTGTTCTCCCAGGGAAGGAGGTCTCTGGAACTTTTCTTTCTTTTTCATTTTTTTTGAGATGGAGTCCTGCTCTGTCACCCAGGCTGGAGTGCAGTGGCGCCATTTTGGCTCACTGCCAGCTCCACCTCCTGGGTTCATGCCATTCTCCTTCCTCAGCCTCCTGAGTAGCTGGGACTACAGGTGCATGCCACCATGCGCGGCTAATTTTTGTATTTTTAGTAGAGATGGGGTTTCACCGTGTTAGCTAGGATGGTCTCGATCTCCTGACCTCGTGATCCACCTGCCCTGGCCTCCCAAAGTGCTGGGATTACAGGCGTGAGCCACCGCGCCCGGCCCGTCTCTGGAATCTTACCATTACGGTTTCCTAAACCTTAAACACTTACGCAAACTTTCAAGCAATTCCCAAGAAAGGAAAAAGAAGGGGACTACCTATGCCTTCACAATTTATAAAAGGTTCAATTATCAGTTACCTAATATTAAAATTGTACAATTTTAAACTTGTAAAAGCCCCATCTCTTTCAGAAACTACTTCTATCTACCTAGCTGGGTCTAAGACAACCACCCAATTTTCTTTAGCAATGAAAATATGAGAGTCAGGGGTCCAGATCCAACCCATTTGAGGAAATCTGCCAATTTTCAATTATTCACATCATGTCCCCTTTACTGGCGCCAATAAAAAACTAATTCGGGCTGGGCATGGCGGCTCACATCTGTAATCCCAGCACTTCGGGAAGCTGAGGTTGGTGGACTGCTTGAGCCCAGGAGTTTTAGACCAGTCTGGGCAACATGGTGAAACCTCATCTCTACTAAAAATACAAAAATTAGCTAGGTGTGGTGGTATGGGTCCTTTCGTCCCAGCTACTCAGGAGGCTGAGGTGGGAGGACTGTTTGAGCCCGAGAGGCAGAGGCTGCAGTGAGCCGAGATCGTACCACAGCACTCCAGCCTGGGAGACAGAGCAAGACCCTGTTAAAAAAAAAAACTAACCAAACAAACAAAAAACTAATTTGATGATCATGATGGTTTGAAATTTGTTTACAAATTTACATCTCAATTCTACCAAGTATAAAATGTAAAGTAATGAAAGGTGTTAAGATAGCAAAAACTTACTTTTGAGTTGCTAACTACCCTAGAACAGGTTCTCAAACAATCTCAACCATGATTCTGCCCCCAAGGAAACATCTGGCAATATCCAGAGAGAATTCTAATTGTCACAATTAGGAAACTGCTATTGGCATCTAGTGGCCAGGAATGTTGCTAAACATGCCACAATACACAGGACAGCCCCTCACAATAAACGCTTACCTGGCCCAAAATGCCACTAGTGCTGAGATTGAGAAACACAATTTTTCTTTTTTTAATGCTCCATTGGAAAGCTGTGGAAATTCTGATGTCTGAATAGAAATTTTTTTTTTCTAATTCCTAACTTAAAACCTAGGCAGGAGACAGTGGTGAGAAAGAATGCATCCAAAAATTTCCTCTGTTGTCTAATTTCTAACTATCATATATAAGTAGCAGAATGTTAAATAAAAAAACTAATCATAGTATTAGGTGGTATGTACTATTTTAAAAAATATATGCAATATGGTTTACAATTAAATTCCTACTCTAAATAATGCCTAACAATGAACAAAGAAAACAATACAACTTTAAAATTGTATTACCGAAGAATCCCATCTTCATGAGTTGAATTAGGTAGGACACCATCTGATGGACTGACAGGTAAATCCACATCTGGTTGCCCAACCTGGGCATACACAGGCTTTGGTTCTAAGAAAAAAAAAATTGGGTAGGACTCACTTTAGAAAAACATGGAATAATAATGCAAGCAACCAGGCAATATATGATTCATAAGTTCAGAGAACCTGATGAGGAACATATCCACCACAGGTATTAGAGTACATTTTATCGTAATAAATTCTAAAGTCTTTATAACAAGTAGGTATGTTACACAGTCACCTGTGTTTTCCATAGTTCCAGCAATCAGAATTTGAAAAATCTATTCTTTAGGAACGAATAACAAAAATAGATGAGAAGAGAGAATTCCTCCATTTCCCCGTTAAGACTACCCAAGTAGCTACCTTTCCTCATTATGCTAAAATTTGGTTTTCAATAACCACGCAAGACAGAGCAAGAAAGATGATTTGAGAGAAGGAAGTGAAAGACTCAGAAACAGAATCTCCAGGCCTCCCAGGCAGCCAACTTAGCACCTGCTGATTCTTCTGTTCTGTCTTCACAGACAGCCTGAAAAGGGTTCTTGGGTGGACACAGCGGCTGCGCCTGTAATCCCACACCTAGAAAGCTGAGGTGGAGAGGAGTGTTGAGGCGAGTTGGAGACCAACCCTGGACAAACAAAGCAGATTCATCTCTCCCAAAAAACCCACAAAGAAACCAGAAAACCCAAAAGAGCCAGGTTGTGTGGTGCACACCGTAGCAGGGAGGATCAGGTGGAAGGACAAGCTGGAGCCCAGAATTTTGAGTTTACAGTGAGCTATCAGCACCACTGCACTCCAGCTGGGTGACAAGAGGGTGAGGATGCTGTCTGCAAAAAAAAAAAAAAAACCAAACAAAAACATAAATAAATAAAGGTATAATCAATAAGATGTTTATGACAACACTTCAAAAACAGCAGAATACT